CATTTTATTTTTATTGTATTTCAAATAATATATATATATATATATATATATATATATATATATATATATATATATATATATATATATTACTTGAAATACAATAAAAATTACCTGAAATAAAATAAAATATAAAGGTGCACTTTTTTTATTTCAGCATTTCTATTTTTTTTAACAAAAAAACTACTAAATAAACTTAAAAAACTGTATAGACATATAAAAAGAAAATTAATAAAAGTGACAAATTTCTATAATTATACCAAGTTAAAATGAAAAGAACATTTTTGGGAAACAATCTATTTCAAATGTTTTATTTAAAAACTATAATAGTGTATACATTTTATTAAAATAACACTGGTTTAAATACTTTTTTTCTCCATGGAAATAGGTTCTCTTTCAATTGACTAATTGAAATATAATTTGTCCCTAGTAAATGTGGCAGCTCTAGTTCTGGTCATGTTTATACTGACAGCTTCATCTTTGTGTCTGTAGGAGTATCTGGACCTGTGCGCCCCGGTGGAGCAGTACTCTCCCAGCTTCCCCGACACACGCAGCTCCTGCTCCTCCGGAGACGATTCGGTCTTCTCCCATGACCCCTTAGCAGACGAGCCCTGCCTTCCCAAGTACCAGCACATCAACGGAGGCATAAAAACATGAGCATCTTCAACTTTCTCCAGACCCACCGCATCCAAGCTACACCTGCAGTTCTCAACAAGACTGAGAGACTTTTACCCACAGTTCCCTTGTCCCCATCCAGAACCGTATGCTGCCTCTAGACTCCTCGCGAAGCTCCCGCTGGACTTTTGGAGCGTCCCAAAGGAGGCTGAGACGCCAGCAGTGCTGCTTTTCCGGAAAGAAACTGAAGTGTGTGAAGCGCAGGTGACTTTTTTGTGGAAACGCACACTTGCGCACACAAAAACACGTGACCAAGCTCTTAAAAAGAGGATGAGGACTTAAGAAAAGTGACTGCTTCCAAGGACCCACCTCTTGCTTTTTTTTGGTTATTTTGATGTTATTCAAGAGAAATGAATGGAGCACATGGACAGAACTCTTAAGAGACAAAAAGGAGAAAATAGGATACGAGTACAATAAGGAAACATACAACTAACAGAAGAAGAAGTAGAAGAAAACATAACACTGCCTCCAGTTGATTTTAAATTTTTTTTATTTCTAAACACAGTTATCATACAAAAATCCCAAGCAGTTATCCTTAACGGTAAAAAAACAAAAACAAACATGGTATATAGTGCTGGGTATATTTGTAAATATATTCAAATATGTAAAAATATATATTATATATTTACAATGAATTATTTTTTTGTATGGACTTCCGAACAATTCCTCCCTTTTCCCGCAGGGTGATAAATAGATGTAGACACATCTAGATGTTTCTATTACATTCCCAGACTTACATTCACACATACATAGCAGGACTCGACATTAAAAAAAACTCCATGTAATGGCTCGACGAGTGCAGTTTTCTCGTTTGTGTTTCCTGTTAAGACAGGAAGTCTCTTTTCTTTTTCATCCTTTGGAAGTGTATTAGCGTTTAGATGACCTCAAAACTAACAAACATGGACTAAAAGCCACAAAACTCATGCATATGTTCCAGGCACATTGAGCTGTGGTGCTGGTTCGAATCTGGGAGCACAAAATCTCCTGGAAAACTTTAATGTCGGGTCCTGCGCAACTCTCACTTGCTGACACAGTCACGTATTGGCTTTCAGGGAAAGAGATAGCATGTTAATTTATTGACTTGTGTTAAAAAAGAATCAAAAGGATAAAAAAAGATCAAAATAATAAAGAGATAACAATATTAATAATGACCGTAGAAACAATAATGATTCATAATGTTTATTTTGTAATTTAAAATGACATTTCATTATTTGTAGCTGGTATCAAAAGATTTGCATTTCTTACGTCTTTTTTATATATAAATATATACAAATGTGAATAGTAAGTTAAAATGCAAAAATAACGTACATTTTTATAGTCAGCTAATCCCTTTTCTATAGTAGAGGATGACGTTTTTATCCGGCCGTTTTACTCACACTGAAGTTTGCATTTGAATTTGACGAAATACTGGAAAAAAGGTTGCAGTATATTTTGCGCAGTTTTACCCACATCAATTCGAAAGTATTACGAATCGTTCAAGTGTTTCATTTTCTTCCAGACAAATGAGCTGAGGTTGTTCTCAACAAGTGTTCCTGACAGATTTGTAAAATTAAAGATGAAAACTTGATTTGTGTGTGCTTTGTTTTTATACTTTGTTCTGCTTTTCTGGTGTCTTTGCACATATTCAAGTAAAATTTATATAGCGTGTTTTTTACAGTACACAGTTTGGAAGCAGCTTTGGAGAAAATCATGTTAATGTTCATAATATCTTAGTATTTTCATGCGTTATAGTCGCATTTAGCAGATTAGAGTTGTGTGATAATTAGTGCTGTCAAACGATTAATCGCATCCAAAATAAAAGTTTTTGTTTACATAATATATGTGTGTGTACTTTGTATATTTATTACGTATATATAAATACACACACATGCATGTATATATTTAAGAAAAATATGTTACGTTTATATATTAAACATATTTATATATGACATAAATTATATGAATATAAATATATACATGTGAACATATGTAAGTATTTTCAAAATATATGCTGTATGTGTGTGTATTTATATATACATAATAAATATACACAATACACACATATATTATGTAAACAAAAACTTTTATTTTGGATGCGATTAATCGTTTGACAGCACTTGATAATACAGTTTACATTTTGCAATGATACAAGCAATCAAGCAGTTGAGATTTGCTATATAGTATCTCTTGCCTTGTATATATGCAGATAAAGTTGTACATATTTAAATATGCTACTACGTATAATGGGCTGGGTGATAATAATTGTTTTGCGACAAAAAAAATAATCGGTAGTGTTTTAATATGAAAATTGCAAGCCCGTAAACTCACATCTTCATGGTAGTTTTAGTCTTTACATAAAAAAGTAGAATTTGATAAATTCATATTGAGATCTATGACATTATTTTCAAGCTTTGGTATTTTGTTTATGCATATGTGAGCAGTTTGAGACCTTGTTGATAAATTAAGACATTAGAGGAGACACATACTGGGGTGTTTTTCTCACGAGAAACTTCTAAGAAGCAGATGTTAACATCTATTTGATCTCCATTTGATTTCAAATTGAGATACTAAACGAATCACCTGTTTATTTCCGTTGAAACCAGTGTTCCCTAAAAATATGTTGGTTACAAGTCATTTTAATTCTTTATTCTTCATGAGGTTGTCTGTTTAATACAGTTGAAAGCTCAATGGCGCCACTCAGGAAAGCAAAACCTTCTCTTCATCTGAAAAAATGACAAAAACTATGATGACTGAAACCTGTCATGCCCTTCACTGACCTCATTACTGCTCTCCACCATCCTGTATGATCCTCCAAAAGAGAGACTGTGATGAGAATCTGCCACATAAAGTTCTTCAGCTCAGAGCTGTTGAAATATGTGAGGAGGCCCATCAGAGCGCTGACTGCCATCTCAATGGTTCTCATAGCCTCCATCTGTCAGAGGCTGTTTGCACAAGGTCCAGTCCTCTGGAATGTCAACATGAGTCGGGCGTGAGCGGGCGAGACAGACCCGCGCTCGCAGATAACACACGGGTGACGCTGGGAGAGAGTTAATCAGTAACATAAACCACATCCAGTGCTTCAGACGCTTTCATAGCTTT